ATCGGGCCGACGCCGCGCCGTACCGGTATTGGTATTGGGCACCCCGTGCTGGACCGGGCTGCTTGCCCGTGAGCTTGTCACGAGTGTGTAGGTGTATGTAGGTGTATGATGCGCGAGAAGCACAGATCTGTGAGAGAAGCACGTAATTGTATGCGTGTGCCGTGCAAGAGGGAGAGGGTGCGCCCGGTCTGAGTAGCCATCCGTAGAACCATATCCACTCCGTGCCACGGAATCCACACATATATATATATATACATATACATATATATATATATATATATACATACATATATGTATGTGTTACGATATATGATATAATCAAATAAATCTGTTGTGAATTATATTTAGAAATGTATGTAGTCTATCAATTACATCTAATGCAACTCAATGCAACGTGGAATGTCTTTTTAATACCATTTTGGTTTAGGATTTAATGAAATAATCTGCTTTTATATAATCTTATATCATAAAAATGACCACACTAAGAGTAGATCAAGTTTTTTTTTTAATTCACATTCATCTAAAAGAAAATTTTTACGTGATGTTGCAGACAGTTCGTCAAAACATGATTATTTTACCTCTAATAATTTTTAATAATTTGTCAATTTTTTGCAAATCATATAGATATAAGATATGATGTTATATAATAACTTTTATTAATGAAAGCATGCATCTTCTTTTAACAAAGAAAATTTCTTGTTACAAGTGGATTAATATTACATAAGAAATTTTCTGCGAAAAAGATAAATGAAGTTTGAACATTTGCAAAGAGAACGGTCACAGAAACACTTGTCCACACTTTTTGTGACATCTGCTTGAAGTTTCAAGGAGGTTGTTGTAACAGCAAAAATAATATATAACTTATGAATTATCATTGTTTTGCGAAATTTTTGCAGCTTAAATGAATGTAAGTTAAACAGAATAAAGTGGCTTTCTTCGATATGAAATCACAATAAAAGAATAAGGGCTGATAAGAGGGAGAATATTGTTGTTACGTAATTATTTAGACAGATTTATAATCGCGTTATCTCTACGATCGTTATCGAAATAATCATTTATATTTCGAGATGTTGTGCATATATAAAACGGCGCAATTAATATTGCTTGTCAGTCGATTTTTGCTGCAAACGACATCTTAGTGATATCGTTAAATAATCATGAAGATCACCATCGCATTGTCCTTTTTGGCTGTACTTTATACCGTAAGTTTCTTGTTGAGAAATAATTTTCAATAGAAAAATGTTTGAACGGAGTAGATGCATCACAGTTTTGAATTTTATTTGTGCATCAAGTTAATTCGAAACATATAGTAAGATTTAGTAAAATAAATCATTATTAAACAAAGAGAAATGGCCAATGTGGCATGAATATATAATCGCAATCGAAATACGATGCGTGTGACTTATTATTTTTTTACTCCTTATCCTCACAACTTTAGGTCGAGGCTTATCCAGCAGAGTCTGCTGATTTGGAAATTCTGAGGATTCGAACGAGGGAACTGAAATGGAATATTGAGACTGCTATACGTCAACTTGAGCTACTTCGTACCCAGACCGAGGAAGATACCCTTCAAAAAATTACCGTAAAATGGAGTGAAGAACAAGACAGTCATAGAGAATATAAAACTTTATTACTTTCTGGGATACGCGTAAGTATAAATAATTAAAAATGATCTGTGAGTACAAGATGCTGTATAATTTTCTCCATTTATTCACAAATCTGTACAAATTGTCACTAAATCTTCAAAATATAATTCGTACATTAGCTAAGCACTTAATATATATTTATATAAATTATATTATATTTTTTAATTAAGATTAAAAAATTGTTTCATTGGTACATTAATCTGTGCGAATCTTAAAACCGATTATATAAAAGATTAAAGATACACGTAAAATTCCGTGCATGATAATCATTTGATGACTTTGATATTTGATAAAATATTATAAACCCCTATTGTAATTCATTTATATGTGTTATAGATAAGAATTTATTTATTTTTAGACTGAAGTAAATGCTGCCAAGGCGGCGGGCAAAGACGCGACCTCATGCCTCGCCGAGGCCACCCAAGGTGTCGAAAATAATGAGCAGATAGCATATAAGGAGGCTAATGCATGCATAGGCTCCGCTGAAGATTCCATCCATAACAATCTTGGTTTTATCGATAATCTCATTTCAGTAAGTTTTGTCGCGATAATTACGTATTATAGATCGCGATCAATTTATCTTAATTAGAATTAATGAAATTCTAACAAAATTCGAATCGTTAATTTTTCCCCAGACCGGAGACTCGTTGTCGTTGCAGTCGGATAGCATCTTCTTGAATTGTCACGACAGCGACGATTACAGAATGCGTAGCTGCATTATCAGTGAACTGACGAAAGCAGAAAGCTCCTTGAAGACCTTGGAGAGCGACAGCATTACTGCAGAGCTGACCATTACACCCGTGTCCAAGAATGTCGTTACGCAAGCCACCAACTGTGTCAAAAACGCTTATTCCCTTACATATACGGAAGGGGCGGCGATTAGAATGAGAATTACTCAATGTATTGAAACAATCACCACGCCAACTACGACAATAGCTACGACGACACAGAAACCTACCACAAAAAAATAATATTTTAAATCTACTAAGTTGATGTCCATTCTTTTTTGTTGAAAGTAATTCTAAAACGAATCAAGATTACCATTTCGAGAGAAAAGAACATCACGATGTTAAGAGTGTATAACTCCACATATGTAATATATATATGAATAAAATAAAAATATCTCCAAAAGAGAATTACTTATTCACGCAATTCCTTATATGCTTGTAATTGACCTTTTCACCGGGCGTAAGTTTCGCATCGTTTCGCGTAAGATTCCAAAACTAAATCCGATAAGCTGCATTATACAATCTTATCTTTATACAAATGAATTTTAACACGCGCTATCAGTTTTACGAAATCTGATTATTTTATCATTCGATTTATATCGAAGTAATAATAATTAGCACTAATTCTCTCATTGATTCGGCAATCCTTTATTAAAATGTTATCTTCGGGATTAAAGAAGGAACATTATGTAATATTTAAGTAAACTCTATAATTAGACTTCCAAAAGTTCAAACAAGGTTATTATATTTAATGAGAAAAGCGTGAATAACAAAGATATCTTCATTTTTTACTTGATATCTTCAAGAGATCTTCAAGATCAGACATTCTTCGACATTGATAATTAAGAAATGGCTTATCTTGTTAATTCTCCTCTCTTTCCCTACCACCTCTCAAAGTTTGTCCAAATGTTTTTTTTTATCACATCTTATTATATAAAAAGACGCAATTAATGTAATACTTATCAGTTATTCGAATTCGCATATCAACAGAGTCACTCCCAAGTGATACCAATAAGCAAGCATGAGAATCGCTATAGCATTGTGCTTTTCGGCTATATTTTGTATCGTAAGTACGGTGAGTTCTTATCTTTTCTTTACGAGGAAAGATTGTGAAAAAGATAGAATGAAAGTTTGTATATAATAGATAACCGTTTAATTAATATATAATATCATTTTTAGTAAAATAAATATTTGTTAAAATTTTGAATAGTTTTCTTCTTTAATTGATTAAAACTACGTTTTTATTATTTTACAATTTCATTGACTAAACTTAAGTCAATCGGCGAGATTGCAAGAATGTATGATTGCTCAAAGTAACACTTTCTTTAAATATCGTGAATATAAGTATAGCGTTTATTTTTCGTATTTAGGTTTATGCTGCCACTCCAATAAATTTAGACTATTTGGAAGATGAACATTTTATAAAAATAAAAAATGCGAGATTGAATGTGGAGCGTATTGTACACCGAATTGAACGTGTCCAGTCTGACACTCAAGAGGATGCTATGTTGACAGTTACGAAAAGATGGAATCAACAAACGAATAATTACAGAGATTACGTTAATCTATTGCTCGATTCGATGCGTGTGAGTAATAATGCGAATCAATTTACAATCGAAATGCTCACTTGCACGTTTATTTTGTTCAGTTTGTCCGTAATTAATTACAGTTATTAACTACAGTTATTACAGATATACGAATAAATATTTTTAGTTTTAATATAATATAACTGTGAAAATATTATGTCGCAAAATACTGTATCGTGTCACTAAAAATGACCCAGTAAATAATCAATAGTAATATAACATTAATATTATAATTTTATACTCAACAATATTTAAATATGATACAACATATATAACAATAATTGTATATAACAGTAATTGTTGAATTATTATTATACATTGAGAGATGTTATGTTACTGCTTACTTGGGATATATAGTGTTAGAGCCGATCGTTTTTTCAAAACAGAATAACGATATTGCGCGGGATCTTCATTTTTATAATTCAAAATTGAGCGAAATTTGTCACAAAATTTGCAAATCTGTCGAATGATTATTACAAGTCATTAACTTTGCATTTTAGAGGGAAGTAAATAACGCTAAAGTTAGAGGTGTAGATGTACAATATTGTTACGATACTAATTCCTGGGCCATAAACGAGCATGGCAACATAGCGCATCAATCTGCTACAAAATGTCAAGAATCAGCTGAAGAGTCTATTGAAAACAGCCTTAGATTTCTCGATAACCTCAAGTCGGTAGGTTCTCATTGTTATTATTTTATATTATCAAATCATCATTTTTTTTTTCAACCTGTAATGTAATTACTATGGATTGAATTTAATCGTGTCAATTTTCTCGACAGCTTGGATACGAGTTGATAAAAGAATTGAATGACATCTTCCTGAACTGCTATGATGACGATACTACTAAAATGCATAGTTGCTTCCTTCACGAGTTCGGAAAAATCAATAACTTCGTGAGGGAGTATGAGCAGGACGCCAAATACATCGAGTACAACGCATTGCCAGCGTCCAACTACGTCGTTGTGCAGGCCACTCAATGTTTGAGCAACGCTTACTTGTTAGCGCGCTTCGAAAGTCAGGGCGCAAAGATGTCTAATTCTAGATGCATTCGAAACGTCGTAAATAAAAACGAGAAGAGTTTAATCGCTTAAAACAGTCTAATGCATTTTTCGATTATAATTTACATTCAAAATTATACTAATTGTAAAGAGAAAGCAATGTATCTTAAGAAATCAATACAATCAATTTGACAAAGATATGCTCTGTGTATGATTATGCGTGTATCGAAGCAATGCTTTGGATTATATATTAATGCTTTATACAATATATTTTTAAAGATATTTTTTATGTACGTATAATATATTTAAAAGAAATAAAAATAATTAAAAAATTATTAACAAGTGTTATTTGTCGGTGGTACTTTTCCTTGTTCGTAATTAATATTTCAATAAATTCTCAAAATTATTTACAATAACTCGCGTCTTATCGTTATGTGGATTATATACTACGTTTTATCTCTCGGATAAAATCTAATAACTTATCGAAATAAAAGTAGTATTATAATATTCCATTAAGATAATGATACTCCATTAAGATCCCATGTTTTATTAAGACGTCAAATATATAAAAGAGTAAAATTAATATCGATTGTGTCAGTTAGTTTATTTTTGGTGACAATTGAACAATTCTCGAGTGAAGGTAACAAGCAAGAATGAGAAGCGCCATAGCATTATGCTTTTTGGCTGTACTTTGCTGTATTGTGAGTCTATTTTCTCTCCTTTGAAAAATATAATTTATAATAAATATTTATTATTTTCTTCTTGTTTTCGCAGAACATTGATTTAAAGTTTAAGATTACATTAACATTAAGATTATGTTGTAAAAAGAAAATTGCTAAAATCAATGTCTGCCAAAGAGAAAAATTAATTTTATTATAAATTTTTTATATAAATTTCCTTTATGTCATCTTTTATCGATATAATAAGTCATTTTAATTAAATTTATATGTATTAATTAAATAATACAAAAAATATGTTTATTCAAAACAAAGCATTCTTTAATATTATTGTTATTTTTTTACCTTAGGCCGATGCAACTACTTTGGACATTTTATTCCGTCGAGTACAGAAGACGAAAATGGAAGTGGAAAGTACCATACGGCAACTCAAACATATCCGTGAAAACACTCAGAAAGACGTAGAACTGACAGTCGGAAAGAAATTATTACAATCATTAGAAGAGTACAATAACTACGCCAATTCAGTACTCAATACGATACGAGTAAGTAGTTATTCGCAATGGTTTATAATCAATAAAGATGTATGAGTTTGACAGATTTTCAAAAATATTTAAAGTATATTCATGTAGATATCTATACCAAATCAATTTTTTTATATATGCTGCAGTTGTATTGAAAACATTAAAAACTATTAATTACTTTTTTTATAAATCAGAAGCACGCTTAAATTGAAAGCTATATGAATCTACTAAACAATTAAACAACATTTCGAATCCATCAATCACAATATATATTTATCAGTTTTCGCGACAGGTTTTGATAAAATGGCAAAACACAACATTTGATAAAGTGATATAAATAAAAATGTAATGCATTTTTAGCTTAATTATTGTTGCCTTCTTTATCGTTAGAAAGAGGTGGAAGATGCCAAGGCGAGAGGTAGGAATGCTGAACCATGCTATGATGCCGCTCTTAATATTCTTAAGAATATTTACAACGCAGCATATATCGATGCTCAACAATGTCGAGAAAACGCCACACATTCTATCAACAATAATCTTAGTTTCAACGATCAGCTTATCACGGTAGGTTCTTACAATCATCTACATATCATCTATATTTTCGATTGAGTGATTATCTATTTAAACTCGTATTTGATCTCGATCTTACAGACCGGACACGAGCTAATAAATGAATTGGATACCATCTTTCCGGATTGCTACAATAAATATTCGCGACTTATCGACATTATAAAATTGCATAATTGTATTATCGATCAGCATGGAATAAGTAAGATTGGCGTACAAAATTTAAAGAGGGATGCCAGTTCTGCTGGATCTACCGCGAAAAGTGCGTCTAAAATTGTCAATCAGCAGAGTACTGATTGTCTGAATAAGGTTTTCTCGATCACGCGCTTAGAAGTTGTTAGATCAACTGCTACTAGATGCCTCAATAATGTGTAGAGAAGAAACATTTATCTTTTAATTGTATTGCATTGATACAATTTATTGCTATTATGAAATTAATCACGCAAGAAAAATCATCAAGGCATTGTTGATTTGATTAAAACAGTTTTGTAGTTACGTTTCGATAATAGATTAGTTCAATAGATTTAGATAAGTTAATGTAAGTAAAGTTCACGATATTATGTTTCGAAATTTTATAATTATCTTTGAAGGACAGTCCTCTCTTTTTTTTTTTGTAGAATGTGACATGAATAAAAATAATTGCAAAACAAGAATTACTTGTTGGTATATGTAATCATGCGTTTCCGAAAAGAACCTTTTGTAAACAATATTGCACATTTCGTAGAACATTATGTCATAAATGTTTTATGAAAAGATATGTAATTATAAGAATCTTATTTTAGACCGTATACATATGTGAGTACGTACGTATAATCTGAAACATCTGTCTGGCTTAAAATTCACGTCTGGGATGTCATAATGGTAAAATATAATGCATCTGTTTAATCTAGAAATCATAAATCATCGATATTTCGTGAATGTCTCATCAATCTCATTTCTAATAAAAATAAATGAGACAAAATTGAAAAGTTCTTTGACATAAAATTTCGATAGAAGGATAATTGGATCGATAAAATTAGACGTAATTATGTTGATATAAAAGTTTTTACAGCTGCTATCAATTATTTTGATAACATCATACAAAAAAATTGTTTCTATGTTTCCAAATTGTTTCATAGTTAAAAAAAATGTTTGCATGTTTGTCTTTATATTTAAAGAATGTGTAACATATTATGAATTCTCTTTAATGAATTATAAATTATTAAAGAGAGCAATAAAAATCGATAAATAATGTTAGAAAAACGTCAGAAAAACGTACTTCACAAGCAATTATGTAAAAAAAAACCATGCTAGTAAAAACTACTTTTTATCTCTTGCCTTTTGTCAGCACATTAGTGATAAGAAATATTAAGGAAATTATAAAATATTCATTTCAAATATTTTTTTCGATGTATCACGATACAATTACGGTATCACATTAAATGATTTGACGAAATACTAATTAGATTATACTTTTCTTCACGTAATATATAATCAAGTTATCGCAAATTTTTTAGATCCTTTACGCATACACACAACTCGATCATTTGTATCTTACAATTATGATGTTTCCGTTGTATCGCAATAAGCGATTATTAGTTTGTAATAACTTTATAATACAGAGGTGTGTGTTTCCTTCAACTTGATCATTTAAAATATCTCCACTGTTTTTGATAATACGAGAAAGTATTACAGAGAATCTTGTTTGATTCCAAGGAGCACATATAAGCAATTAAATTATGATAAATAAAAAATTTTCTCAATATCATATTTTTGGTGTCTTCAAGATGTACAGACGATTTTTTGACGGTGTCACGAAAATATTTTGAATCCATCTCAATTACCTACGGATGGAAATTTACTCATGTGTATGCAGTATAGCTCTCTCTATTTATTAGCTCTCGCTATTAACATAAATGTTCCATTTGGCTCATACATTATTGAATTCATGATTTTTTATTACATAAATGTTCCATAAATAAATAGGCATACTTGTAAAGCAGTAATATCCTATGTATTGCAGAAAAATTACAATTTTTTTCTCTGTTATCATCTCTGTTAATAATCAAAACTTTGACGATAACACTGAAATTACAGTTTTAAAGAAAAATCGAGTATTACTGAGTTCTAAATGCATCAATACGTGTACTAAACTAACAAATCATAAAATTAGTACAATATTATCAGTTTGTAACTCTTAATTACTTACAATATTCACAAGGATGCGAACTCCCGTAAGAATGTCGGTCTTTAATAGTACCTCGTCGGTGATCATATCCATGGCGCAATTGAATTTGTATTCTGCTTTACCGACCAACCAAGCCATCTCTGTCAAGTAGCGTGCTCTGCATCGCTATTAAACAAATGCAACACGATAATAACCGAATTTCAGCGGATTCAACCGAAGCGAGCAAGTCTTCGATCTTTACTCGTCGCGAGCACGCATATCGCAATTCGCATCTTCAATCGCAGTCAGCGCAGCTGCGAATGGCTGATCGAGTGACAGGAAGACGAATAATATTTTATACTATATAGCGCCTCGTGCTCGTGCGGTTACTCGTGCCCGTGATCGGTAAACCGATCGGCGAGCCGATCGATAAACAGGGCGGCTCGGTCGGCTTGGTCGCTCGCGTCGCGCCGCGCCGCGCCGCGCTGCGCCGGTTTGCAGAGTCGTAGCTCGCACTCTCGCGGATTCTCGCCTCTCGCAGCTACGTTCAACGTGTATACGACTACACATGTGCGTTCGTGCGCGCGACCGCTGACGTTGACAGCTGCCCGTTGCTGCTGGGTTGCTGCTTTCACACGTGCACATTCACGCTCGCGCGCGCACGCGATTGCCGTTCATACGTCATAAGAACCGAGAGCACGCTGTCGAACGGCTCAGATTGTATTTCGGAGCAGTGCGTATCGTACGTATTCGCGAATATATCTAGCAAGAGTGACAGTCCGTTAGAACTTCTCTATCAATTTTTTTAATCCTCCGTTTCTCCGTATTTCCGGCTGCCTTCTGCTCGTGTCTCTACATACGTGGCGGGCGAGCTACTTTGATAACATGTGCGGTAAGTACATACATGTAGCAAAATTTTAAGCACCGTCGTCGTCGCCGTAGCTGTCGCTTTCTCCGGCCGCGCCGTGCCGTGCCGTACCGTGCCGGCTTGACGCGGTCGATGTGTAGTAAATTCGATTTATTTATTTATTCATGTGTCCCGCAAGTGCCGTCATCGCGACAATTTGATTATCGTATTCAGAAAACGACCATGTGAAATTTGAGAGGCGAGATTACGCCCAGCGGGTGCATATCGAGACACTGGTTTCCACATATCGCGCCGGTATGCAATCATCGAATTGTCCATAGACATAACGAGATACCAACAAACGGAATTATATATATATATATATGTATATGAAAAATAATGATTTATCTTTTTTTATTTCTTGTGTCAAAAATAAATGTAAAAATTAGCAGACGAATTAAATAGTCATTAACGATACATTATTATTTTTTTGCTTCCTTATGAAATGCTGTTGATTTTAGCACATTAGTACTCCGAGAGAGGCGATAAATTGAAATCTTACTTATCATTCAATGTAAAATATATTTTTAATTTTGTTATCATTTAGTATCGTAAGTGAGTATATTTTGACGAGAATAATAAATGGATATTTGAATGATGAATACTGCACTGAATATTTTAATATTTTAATTATTATTTATTTTGTATTTCAATATTTTATCTCTAATTATACATGCGTATACATATTTGGATATGCATTTCTTTCTAATTACGTATGTTTTATTACCAAGATCAATCAAACTCTGAATATATATTTAAATATACAGTCTACATATTATTTGGAATAAATTTTGTTAATCGTTTCCATTTGGATTTGAATATACATATTGATTTTCAAATCAGTAATCATTGGGTATCACGCTATAGATGAATATGTAGCATTAACTATGTAGCTATTCTTTATTTTTTATGCGTTATTTCGAAAAATGCTCGTCACCTGTTTTTGAAAAACAATAAAAGAACGTATTGTAACAAAAAAAAAACGTAATACGTTCGGTACCATAAATATGAAATTGAACAAACACGTACACGTGTCACTGTAAGAAAGCTTGTCATTGAGCTTCTAAACATCGAGCGATATGTGTGTTCTAATTTTAGACAAAATGTCAGTTGATTATTAATGAAAGTAGTAAGTTATATGTATTTTAATAGAGTTGCACATTTCAAAGAGCTATATCACCTTTATATAAAAATTTTGTTGTAATTTTTTGTACGTATATATATAAATATATATACATACATACATACACGTACAAACCATTTTTAATATAATTCGTTACTTTTATAGTTGATAATGACAAAGTATGACATATCACTAATTTACAGCAAAATATACTGCTTACACATAAACAATTTCGATAATGTCGCCCATAAAATTAGATTGAATAACGATTTGAATAACGTAATGTAATAATGGAAATTTATGATTCTTGCGACAGTTTTCGCTTTGGAAGAATTTTACGAATCTTTATGACGACTTATGTGATTTTCATTCGAGATTTCGGTGCGATCATTTTAGATGGTGTAACATCTTTCAATGAAAGCACACCGCGTCGCGGTGGCTCGAAAATTCATTACGGGATTATGAAAGGATTTGCGCAAGTCTCGCGAGAGAGTCACGTTTTCGATTATGTTACTGATATAATCAACAAGTCTTTTTTTTTTTTAATTAAATATCGTGACAAGAGAAATTGCTTAATGGATATTAATCTTACCGGTATGATTAGAGATGTAAAAAAACGGTTTGACTTCGGAAAAAAAGTATCAAGTAAAAAATGGTATTTTTGATCAAATTACATAAAATTCATGAAAAACCTTAGAATTCATGTTAAATATGTAAAAGAAGAAATAGAATTTATTTTTCTTGTTATTTTGATACTTTTCAATACTTTTGTCTTTATAATTTTATATCGAAGCGGAAATATTATTGGCTGTTGCAATTCTTGATGAGATGGATGAGATTGATTAATAGGTTAATAGGTCTGTTTGCGTTGCTCTTTGCATTCAGCATCTCTGTGTCTAATCTTCTCTAATTTCAACGCCCGAATCTATTTTTCTAATAATATCACTTTAAGTGCAAAAATTTTGGGGGATTTCAAGCAACAGATCTAAATGACCTAAAAAAAATATCCGAGTAAAAGACTGTCAAAGTAAAAGAAAAAAAAATCATTAATTTCCGAGCTTTTTACCCTAAAATTCTAGTATTTTTATGGACTAAATTCTATACTAAATTCTAATATTTAGACGGAAAAATATTAAAGAAGTAATTTAATCATTTAAATAATTTAGTAATTTAGTAATCTAGTAACTTAATATTATAATTTAGTAATTTAGTAATTTAGTAATTTTTACTTTTATTAAAAAAGTAATACCTAAAAAGTCGCGTAGCTGACTTAATTATAAATTACTTTTCAAGTAATAATTAATTGGAATGATGAATATACATACATATAACGATGAAGTGGACATCGGAAATGTCACGTCGGTGATGCCTTGGTGTACGTTCTTACAGGTATGTTATGGCATGCCATACGTTTTTCCCGTGGAATGTACGAGACATTACTTCCTCGTGCGTTGACCTATTCATAGATTGTGTTTCGTATTTACCAGACAGCGTTAAATATCCATATGCATAACAAGTCATGTTGGATTGCATCTTCTTCCGCTGAGAACCCAAGTTTTAATGAAAATGTCTGTGGCAATTACGAATGTGCTTATTGAATCTGTTATTATCGATTTTTAGATTAAAAAAATTCATTTCATTTTTTTAAAGAATTATTTATTTTCCAAAAGATTATTTAAATTATTTTATATATCTTGGAGTACAAATGCGCCAGAAAACATACGGGCGCGATTAATTTAAAGCTTATTCCTTAAATTTGAAATTCGAAACACTTGCATAATTTGACCAGAGAATTTACCGATTATATTGTATTTTACTGTGACTGTATTTTACTGTACAAATTTTCAGATGAAAAATCAACTTCGATAAGAAAATGATTCGAGCATGTTTTTGCATGCAACTATTCTTGTGCCACAGCATATAATGGCTTTTTAGTGATATGTAATTTCTGATCTGATACGAAGCGATTGACGACGCTCGATTCAGTCGAGTGAAAGTCTCTTTTTCGAAGTGTGCGAACCTGAGGCGAGAGGGTGCAGCAACATAGCACAGGACAGTTACATATGACATTTAGACGCGACAGAGATATCCACCTTCGGCTCCTTTCTCCCCGGTTGTCCCCGCTATTTCGTTTGCTTCTCGAGGTTTGATTGCTACGAATAAATTCATTTACGAAGTATTCGAGCGAAAAGTGTCTAAAGTACTGGGACGTTTCAATTATTATTAAACACATGTTGTGAGTACTCGATTTTACATCGTTCCAGTGTTATATTCAATACTTTAGTCTAATGTAGCATGAAATATCCTTCCTGTATTTTACTATACATATGTATATGATCTTATATAAATATATCCTTATAATTATATAATTTGTATACAAATAAGTATATTTATTATATTTTATATTGTATAAACGCGCAAACTTTGAATTGCTTGTCACTATCTAAAGATAATTAAAGAAAAAGGAAGTAAACTGTGGATTCAATAGGAACTTCAATAGGGATACCTATACTCGTATAAGAAGAAAAAAAAATGTAAAGGAGCAGCGTGCGTGTTAGTTGCTCGTCAATTAAGTTTGCTGTGTGATCGCCGTGAGGTTCATACGAATATCGTGGTCAGTAGGTCGGAAGGCCAAGTTCTTCGTGCTAGATGATACTATCGCGATTATCCATCGACTACCTTCTGGTCGTTCAACCGCGGTTTCGTTCATGTATGTCGGCTGTATTTTAATTGCCTTTGCATCGCAATAAAGTTTTGACATTTTTCACATTAGACAAACGATCTTACCGAAGCGAATGTTCTCAAAGAAATAATTGGAAAATTTTTTATATCACTTCTCATACCTATTTTTCATCATGCCTTACGGAATAAGATATCGAAATAAGTCTGAATTTATGCCTCATTCGAATTTTGTGCTCGCATTATATGTTTGATTATCTGTTCGTTTAAAACAGAATAGAATAATATGTTTTCTTTTATGCCTAAAAAGTATTGTAGTAATGGCACAGTTTTGAAAATGCACTTGTACTGTTTTTCTAACCACGATATGATAACGAATTGTAATTACATATGACGATGATGCAAAAAAAAAAAGTTATTGACAATATGATATGGAAGGGATATTCTAACAAGGGAATTGCTCAGAAAGAATACTGTCCGAGAGAGAGAGAGAGAGAGAGAGAGAGAGAGAGAGAGAGAGAGAGAGGGTTTTTTTAGAGAGAGAGAGAGAGAGAGAGAGAGAGAGAGAGAGAGAGAGAGAGAGAGAGGGCTATATTCCTTCTCAGAAAATTATCTCTATCAATGTAGTTAATTCTGTAGCATGACAATGATATATGACATTGTTTCGATAGAACACAATGATAAAAGTTTTTTGAATATCGCTCCTTTCAGATACGTCCGGCAATTCTTAATTATGCCGCGTTGTTCGATAAGAGCTTCTTTATCATTAGATTGTTTATCATCTGATAATCTAATCGCTTCAATAGCTAATTTCCGTAAATGTAAAAGGAAGAAAAATTGTTAATAAATTCTTACGATTTCTTCTATCTGGATATTCGTATCAATCACTGTAGGAAAACTCTCTTATCGTTCAGTACGATTAGAGTATCCCTTCAAGACTTACTAAAGTTGATAGTACAGTCTTTCTCAGAGATCGAGAGAGAGAGAGAGAGAGAGAGAGAGAGTTTAGAGAGAGAGAGAGAGAGAGAGAGAGAGAGAGATTTTTTCTATCTCATAACGATATAAAGTTTTGTAGTAGGATATGTATAATGGATATTTTTCAGAGAATAGCATGTCTAAAACGTAGATATTTTGCTTTTTACTTAATATTGCGAGATACAAAATATTTTAATTCTTATCACTAAGATAATGAAATTGTAAAAGAGTAATACTCGATAAGCGCTAAATATTAATGTTTAACTATTTTTATTGCTATCTTACTTTTACGCATGATTATAGACGATTACGATACATATCGATGTTTATTTGCGTACTTATAGTATAATAACGTTTCATTTGCATTTTTATTACTGATGACGCAAACACCTTCTGTTGAATTGATAGTTTTATTTCCGAATCAATTACGTTTTTGAAAGATGACGATTCTTTAAAGTTTAATAAATAAACAGATGTAATAAATTATTTGGTTATGACTATTATCATTATCGCAATCAATAAAATCGCGTTTATCTAAGGAGAGAAAGAGTTACAAAAATATTTAGGAAACTTCCGAAGTAAAATCAATCCAAATAAAAGTAGGATAATTAAGTGCGTCTAAAATGAATACTAAATCTTTCTTATCTATATACGCTAAAATCTATATCGCACTTTATTCTCAGTTACGAATCAGTAATTTTATCTGGAAATAAAATAAGTTTTGTATATATGTAAAAATATTAATTTTTTGTAAATATGTGTGAATATCAAATTTTATTATAAAATTTATTATACGAGAGAGGACATTTAAATTATTAAAATTTTTTAAAAATACGTTCTTGTTTATACTTTATTCTGTCCAATTGCACTTGAAATGTATGTAATTTCATCTGATTAGCATTGGAAAGTTATGCATTGTTATAGTATACTCGTACATTGACAGTGCTATCGGATATCTATCTATGTACATTGAAACGATAGTAAAATAGTTTCTTAGAAAGAATAACTCGCTCAAATCGATATATTCTGATCATATTGCACAGTCTAATTGCAGAGCATACTAGTGTTTGATCTATATATATAATAAATACTAAATTATAAGCTGAAAAGATTTGAGAAATTTCAACTTTCATTTCCAACTACAACAGTTTTGCTAAATATTTTATTGTTATTATTATTCGATTAAGATTATTAGAACGGCAATTTGTAAGTTTCAATTTCTAATTCGTATACGAAAACCTCTGGTTTAGATAAACACAATTTCTATTCTCATTCAGATTTCGACGATGTACATAAAGACACAGTCCGTGATAACGATAACTGCGATGTGTCTGAATCTCTCGTTTAGCCTTACGCACATAAACTTTCCCTTTCACCAGCGTGCGTGTGTCTTGAATTACCTGTTCTCTCTCGTCATTAGGCCAACCGGGATCTCCGGCCTTCCGTCGCAAACGTTCACGGATATCAGCTTTTTGCATTTTTGTAACGTCCCATCGTTCGACATCGTTGATGGACATCCGCCAATGGCATACGTTTAATATTTTTTTATTTTGAACATTAAATTTAATCTTGTTTCTATTTTCATATAAATTGTCAACTTTATATTTTATATAAAGTTTATACTAACAATATATCATATTTGTACGTTAATAATTATTTCATATGATTACAGTGAGAAAATGTTTTGATACCAGCAAGGAGTACAAACAAAACAAATTTTGACTCGTAATTGAATTTCTGATTATCTCGAATATTTGATAAGTCTGATTTATATTTTTCTATAATTTCTCTAATTAAATAGATATTTATTAGAATTCCACTTAATGCAATGAGACCAGAATGATTTTTCCAGTGTATAATGTAATATAATATTAATTTTTGCAAGATTTTCTTTAATATTATTATTTTCCAATTGTAATATTAATGCGTTAATGCAACGAGAATGCAATTTTTGAAAATTTTTTTTAATATAAAAAAATAAACAAAATTGTTCTTTGAAATTGAAGAAGAACAAAGGAAATTAGGTTTTCCATATTTGTGATTCAGCACTCTTTAAGTGGACTTATATGACGTATATGTTTTTGCGTATCCAGTCTCTCTACGAACCAGCATGTTAATAAAAAAATTAAAAACAAAATATGAAAAGTTTTACCGTGATATTTCTCCACGATCTTTTTGTTCTTGGACAGATCAATTTTTTCCGCATTCTCTCGCGAATACGACCTTCGGGATCAAGAGGCAATACAGAAATCAATGAAAGTAAGAAATCATTTATTGTTACCTATTATGAATGTCTTTGATTTTCTTTGACTGATCGACTATACTTTAGAGAAAAGCAGAAATAAATTTATTGTATTTTAAAATAGATTCTGCAAAAATAAATAAAGAAATATTAAACCAAAAACATTCGCGCGACATTTAGACGATGGTCTATCTCTTAATTTCACTGACCAGCATCTCTCAATTCCGAAGGTCACATCTATGAGAGATTGTGGGAAGAGAAACTCGGTCATTTGGAAAAAGAAAAAGTAAAAAATATATAGAGGTTAATGTAATAAGAAATGTATGTGTGATTATAATCAATAAATCAAAGTTAAATGTATCAAGTATATGCATGTTATTTTTTGTTGAAGCAATTGAACCGTGCAAGGATACAGAAAAATTGCACAATGAAGAAATATGCTCTGAGAGAGAGAGAGAGAGAGAGAGAAAGGGAGAGGGGGGTGGGGAGAAGCAAGAGAAGGGAGAAAGATAGATATAGTGATACCTACATTGAAGAAAAAAATCAAATTATAAATTTTAAGAAAAATTTTATCACATGAATACTATTAATTACGTCTAATTATACTAATTAAATAAAACACGCAATTTTATGATTATCCAATACGTTAGACACTATACATGAAGATTATTGATTAATAATGAATGATTTATTCTAGCAATAACGGAAGATGGACTTTAACATTTCTTATTATCAATGGTATCTTTTAGTATGGTTATATGTTTTTTCATCGTAATGTGATCGAGCCAAGTAGTAATTATATTTTTAAATCCCCAGGAATTTTTGCTTATCTAAATTACTTGACGCCGAAGAGCAGAAAGGAGATCTTGGAACTGTTGGTTGTTGGCCTAAAGAGATTAGAATATCGCGGATATGATTCTGCAGGTAAGTCAATATATCTAATCTCGAAATCTCTTTCCTCTTTCGTAAAAGATAACGTGCATTTACGAAAGCTTAGGTATTTCAGGATAAAAAAACGAAGAAAAAATAAAGCAGCAACGAAAACTATTCACTTTGATAGACTGTACCTTATAGAAAAATGCAGGATGTTTACGAAAAAAGAAAATTTATAGAACGTCTGTCGTATTTAAAAAGTGATTTTATTCAAACTCTCTTATACATAGGTATATTATAGCCCTATATATTATATCTATAT